GTGTGTGTGTGTGTGTGTGTGTGTGTGTGTGTGTGTGTGTGTGTGTGTGTGTGTGTGTGTGTGTGTGTGTGTGTGTGTGTGTGTGTGTGGGCGGTTTGCATGTGAAAAGAAAGACAAGTAGAGGGATTGTAGTTAACCTTGGCATCGTACCTTTAGTAACATAAATCACTTTGTTACCGCTGGACGTTTTAATAAAAATTACAAATGAGAATGTGCTCTCTGCAGGAATTGATTAATCCGATTAACTCGACGTCATAAAGTGATGTTTTTGTCTTCCCCGAGTAAGTTAATATTAAGAAAACGTCAATAGACGTTAATAAAACGTCACGTGTGTTCTATTGTTGAGGCACAATATCAAGGTCTATGTTTTTGTTTATAAGGAGATAAGATTTTAATCAACTATAGATTGGAATTTTATCAATTGTGAAAAAAATTGGGCAAGATGCCATCGTTGAACAAGAATATATGAAGACATGAAATACATGAAGATACAAAAACATTTTACACACAGGAACGTTAAATATTTAAAGTTTTTTAAATAAAATTAAATTTGCTATTTATTATTGCAATGATAATAAATCACTAATCGTGCAACTTCTGCTGTGTTATCTCCGATTGAAGATGAATTTTATATCGGAAAATGTTTACTGTTTAAGATATACAATGTTATAAAATCTGTTATTCAACGGTATAAACATTGCTTTGCATTTAAAATATACTTATAAATTATAATTCGCTCTAGCAAGAAAACGCCTTATTTAGTGACTAATCGTATATTGAGAAATAAATCGAGAAATAGATTGAGAGTGAATAAAAATATTATACAATATTAATACAATGTTATATGCAATATGCAATATATACATTTGCATATTGCATAAAACATTGTATTCTAAAATACTAGAAATAATGTTTTAAAATTTCATATGCACATAGAGGTGCAATAATATTTTCTGGACACGTTTTCTGGACGCGATATATGTATGTAGTCTTCGCTTATAAATAAGATAATTAAATATAAATAATAAAAAAAATTTCAACTATCATAAAATGTTACAAATACTTTTGCTATCGAATAAAAGCAGAAATTTGTCGCGAGTGACAAAGTAAAATTGCTGATTTAATGTTAAATAAATAATTGTCTGTCACATATAAATAAATGGTAATAAGTAACTATGTAATGTTACCATTTATCTATTTTAATCACAAAAAGAGAAGGGCTAAAAATAGAACGATAAATATGCATAGTGTTTTTATAGTATGACGAGAAAGATCGAAGCATAAGATATAAACGCTAAATGATGTCTTTTAATAAATTTCCTATAATTTATTGATAACTTATTGATGTAACTTATTGATGTAACTTATTGATGTAACTTATTGATGTAACTTATTGATGTAACTTATTGATGTAACTTATTGATGTTAAGTAACAACAATATCAATGGTTTATAAGGTACTTAATCACAAACAATGTAATTATCTTACATCATTGCAGTATGTAACTTTTCATTTATTTTCCATTATATCTCTTGTCTTATATCACAAATATTAATATTAATATCCTTAAATTAAATTAATAAAGGAAAAGGTTCATACATTTCATACATTTCGAATATTTGATACACAATCAAAAATAAACTTAAACTAAATTTGCAACAGATGCACGACAAATTAGTATATAATTATGTAAACCTGTTGTGTGCATCTTATATATAACGTAAGACATGATTTTATTAATGTGATTTTAATAATTAGTAAATTTTTATCTATAACAATTTATCTATTAATAATTTATTTATTAATAATTTATCTATTAATAATCGCTTATAATTTTTGAGATGATAGCTTAAAAATGCATACACATGTGGAAAACCAAAGTATAATTCCAACAATTTTTGGGAAACTTTTATATCGAAGTATAAAAAAATTGGTAGTTTAAGTAATAACAGTTAACGTAATAAACGAGTGTCAATGAGTCATATCGCAATCTTGTACACTCGCTTCTTAACTATTATGCAAAACGATCGTAAATACAATCGATACGATTATATTACGTGCATTCTCGTCGTAAGATAAGAATATTTACGTGAGTATAATCTTCTCTAGATAGATACAAAAATTTAATGCCACTAAAATAAATGAACAATTAGTGAAGAAAAATAAGGAAATAGTCAGTGCATAATTTATTTGCTTAAAAAAGAAAAAAATCCGGAAAAAACCTGTGAAATATTATTCAGTATTCAGCAGGAAAGAGACATTCTCGATTAGATTACTTCGTTACGTTAGTTATATCGATAAAAATGCACGAGATAGGATTCTCACAAGAAGACCACAAGAAGAAGTAAGATCCGCTAATATTCAATAATGGCTAGCTCGAAGTCGTGCGACTTTTTTCTTTAATTCTTTTTTCAAGAGAACAAATCTCAGCGGGTCGTTATCCGTGTACGTAAATATGCATGGGAATCTACTATGCGTCAGGATAAAAATCACCAACGACATACGTGATGAAAAGTAAATCGCGTAATCGGGCCAATTTGCACAATAAACACGGGCAACGTCCTTTTAATTGCATTACGATTAAACGATCGCGACGAAAGCATTACTAATCGCGAGATCTCCCGGCGATAATTTGAGTCGCACGTGCGCTCGAAAGTAA